TTGCTAGTACTCTAGCACTTTGTAATTGCAGACATTTCTGTTACTAGATCTAGGGAAGAACACAGAAATGCAGATTTAAAAAAAAAATAAATCTGCATTTGATATTTTTTAAAAAAAGCTTAACCATAGAATATTGTTTCAAATATCTCCAAAATTGATTAGTTTTTGTAACCAAAACCTACCTTCCCCATCACCTAGTGCTGTTATTCTTCATTTTAGATTAAAAACATTTAAGTCAGTTAGAGAGAAAAGGTTAAAAATAGGAAAACGATATTACAGACAGTAATTCTAATCAGAGCAAAAATAAACACAAAGCTGAAAGAAAGCAAAATGAAGTGAAAAGCCCTTGTGAAACCCATCCTCAGAGACAGCAGAGGCCATTTACTCCTTTGCAAGGTACGGCTTTGGCAGGATTGTTGTCCTTAGGGCCTGAGAGAGGAAAACTTGCAGGGAACAGACAGCAGAAAAGAATTCTTTATTAAGCAGTGCATGACAATGTTTGAATGAATATGTTTGCCATGCAGAGGACATGAAATTATTTTAGCATTGTGATCGAAGCCTAGCACAGACATGATAAGCACTGAGAAACCCTGGGCAGGGATTTAACAGCTCTGGCATGGTTTCAAAAATTGCCTGAAAGTAACCAAACCTTCACAGTTTGAACTGCAGCGTATGATGAAATCCACACACAGCTCCTGTCCCCAGAAAGGGACATAACAGCAGCTTATGCACTTTGTGTGTTTCGCTACAGATACCAAGTTGCCAGAGCACCTGTATAGGCAAACACATGTCAAATGGGTCCTGTCAGAGAGAACGTGATTTAAACTCATGGCCAGCGCCGTGCCACCACTAGCTGGGGGCTCAGGAGGCCATGTAGTGAATGCAGGTTTGGCCTTGACTAGAGCTCGGGCTAGGAAATTTTGAAACCAAGGGCCCCAGGAATTCAGTCAGTCAGAACAAAATCGTGAGCGTATAACGATGCTAAATGGTTTAGTGTTACTGAGAGTTTTTCTGTTTCTCTTTAGAAGTAAAATGAAGTTTGTGACTGTTTTAGTAAATGCAGTCCCACAGAAACTCTGCCAAGGGTAGGAGTTACAGTCCCTGCACTCTAGGGCCAAATTTGATTTATGAACCCATTCTCCCTACCCCAATTCCCCACCTGGTTTCCAAAGGTTGCTGATGGAGCAGCTGTTCCCTTACTACCTGAAGGTGTCTCTGTTTTAACGTCAAATGAAAAAAACAAAGAAGCACATCACGATCCTCTGGAATGAAAGATATAATACACAGTGCCATATATGGCACCAGAGACAATAGGGTATAAAATCAAGTCTCCCACATCTTTACAGTACATGGCACATCCTTGGCAGAGAAGCCATCCCATAAGCACTTTATGGCTTCAGATTTGTACCTTGGCCTCACTTGCAGTGTAAGGTGGTCAACGATCAGCACAACAAACATTTGATTTCTATTTAATGTAAAGTGATGTCTTAAACCTCACCAATTGTATCTATACCTTGTATAGGGCTTTTTGTATAATAATGGCTAATTATTACCAATAATGTAACCAGTACTGTTAATAGCATGTAAGCCACCCTGCAACTTTATAAGTATGTTTTATTGTTTGCATGCTATTTTAGATGTTTGATATTTTACAGATTAAAAAAAATCTCTACCCCAGAGCTCAAAATTAAACCTGCTTTTGCAACATGCTAAACATGAAAGCCCTAGGATGATGAATAGTCCCACTGAGGCTATGAATTATTTTCTAGGAACAAGACAAGAGCCAGAAAAATCAAGCTCTAACATGCACTGAAAACATCACCAAATAAGATTTTGCTCAGCATGTCTGCTAGCAGAAAGCAGATTATTATCATTTCATGTGTAATACCTATGATGACTGTATAAACAATGACAAATATACACAAATAGTTATTACTCCTGCAAGAGCTGCGTTATGTCTGGAAGGTTTTTGTAACCTGTGTTGCTGGTTAAATCTGACTCTGAAAATGCAGAGTTCTGCAAATTGCCTTTTATGCAAGACAGTCAAGTAATTTTTTTAAGGCTTCCCGACTGCCAGCTTACTGCAGCCACAGTTAGTACAAACTTTCTTTAGGATTCATTTCATGCCCTTCTTTCTGTTAATATCCCTGAGATCAATCCTTTCTCTAATGAATAGCTGACCTATTCTTCTTTGATTTGCCATTGATTTCCCCTGCTTACCTCCCAACGCTTTGCCTGTTGATTAAACGCTAGACATAGGAATGCCTCAAATTTCTGACTTCTGAGTCATCCTCTCATGACTTGAACAGCTTGAAGCCAGCTTCAGCTCCCCGACATCATTAGTGAAAACTCCTTTTGTTTCCAAACTCCACAAACAACCCGTTTCTCTCCAAGCTTAGGTGCTGCCTGTGAACTAGACAATAAATAGTAGCAACAAAATTATCTCCTATACACATTGCGATAATTATTGTAAGAAAAGGAAAGGGATATTTTTTCTAAGACAGAGAAGGCAAATCCCAGCTTTCCCTTTTGCACTAGAAGATCTTTATGTCTATATGCAATGCAGACAAGACTATAAGTAAAGACATCTGCTTATGCAAACTTTTATTTTTGTATGGGGTCCCTCTGACTCCAGCATAACTCTGCATGAGAGTTTAGAAAAGGGGCTCTATTTTCTGAAGACACCTTGTTTTTAGAAAGCATTTCACAAATCCTCCTCTCCAGCTTCCACTTTACAGAGCAAGCTGGATGAAACTTGCTTATCTGCACTGCAAGAAGGAGAGCTGAAGCCGATGCTTTGAAAACTTGCAGTGGTATTTCCTTGGAACACAGATATCTTCAGTCTCCAACACTTTGATGTCTTCTTCAAAAACAAACAGGCTGACATTATCTCCATTTTCCTGCAGTTCTGATGTTTCTCAAAATGCAGCTTGTTTTCTCCAGGGTGACACACAAGGTCTGCCAATCCTACGAGACCAGCTATGCAGCATAATTACTATACTTCCAATTAAGGTAATCGGACCTGACATTCTGTACTATATTCCAATCTGATCATGTCTACCCTGGGAGCATCACCTGCACATGACCCACACTTTTCTTACTCTCCTATTCAGGTTCTCTGGGAAGGAAATATCAAAGCATACCCCTACCTCAGCAGCCTAGATGTGGTGCTTTCCTCCTGTCATAGCTAAAGGACCCTATCACAGAAACTTTTTCAAATTATCAAAACCCAGAAGCATGCAGCAACTGATCAGAGCTGTTTGCTAACGTTTCGAGTTCTCCACTAGCTGTCAGAGCATGACAGAAAGTCGTGCTGTGACCAGAGTTCTGGGCTAGCTCTGCTGCGGGCTTTATGAGTGGTACTGGGCAGGTTAAATAAGAACATGTCAACAACAGAGCCTACACTCGGGCACCAGATTCTATGCCCTTGCATTTAATTCTGCAATCCATGCAGAAAGTAAATGAGGAAATGTAGGTGCTATTAAAAGATGCTAACTCCAACACTGGCTTTGACCGCTCCATAAGACAATCTAATTCACCAACATGACAGACCACTCTTCAAGCAAAAAAATTTTCAGTCCATTTAGTGAGATTGACCAGTTTAGCAGTCTGAAATGCTCCAGCACTGGCTCAATGAAGGTGCTACAGCCATGAGCAAAGGAGACAGAAGACAGGAAGGAATAAAAACAGGAGGACAGTGAGACATCTTTCTGTTAACAGAGGGAAGCTGCCATGCCAGTGCAGCTGCCCATGAAACCATTTGTTAGGCAGTTCCAAACAGCATTAGAAACAGCTGGCATGCTGAGAGGGCAACTGCATAAATTAGGCCGGGCTTAACAAAAGGACAAACCATGAAAAACTTAACTTTGGCCACTGGGAGTCAACTCTGTTCATCTAGGACCTACAGCCCTGGAACCATTCCTGAAAGGAGATGCCTATCTATTTGCTCAGATAATGACTAAGACACGGATATTTTCTCCCAGAAAACTGCTGAGGGAAGAGAAGGCTTGGCAATGAGATGTGCTCACAGAGCAGCCTCACTACTACAGTCCTGCTGGGAAGAGGCAAAGGTAAATTGTTGTCCCTGTCAGCACACCAGCAAGGTTGAGATTTTAGCCAGTCTCAGGTCCAACTTAAAATGCAAAATTAAAACTGGGAGCAAGGACAAGTGATCTGGTGCCCTGCTTCCCTCATCCTGTCAGGTGGACATATCACACCACCAAGTCAGGTTTGCTTTTGTGGTCCCTCCCGGCAAAAACTCAACTCCCTTCTTACAGAGTAGTGCAACATTATGTGAAAGTCTTCCCACCTGCTCCCCTTACATCCCCCTGCCACCCCTTTTCTCATGCCAGCTGCACCCTCACATGCAACTGGATACATGGGGAAATTGAACTATAGCCTGTTTGTGAGGAAGAGGGAGCAACACTACAGAACTTGAGATGATGTCAGCCTTCTTTCAGAAAATTACTACATTAAAAAACCCACAAATTATATCACAGAAGAGGGAGGGAAACAAGGGAAGCAAGAGGCTTTATGCTATGTGCGCAGCACAAGAACCTCCTCTCGAGCACGGTGACTCCCACGCCCCTCAGGGCGCCTTGCTTTCCCTGATCCGATCCCCGACTGTATCTTCTTACGCTTTGTGCCGTCTCCCCTTGACAGCACCGCCCAGCCAACCTCCCCACGGCTGGGCCATATGGACCGAGTTCCAGCGACTTGCTGTGATCACTCTTAATTACAACTTCCTCTACGCAGACTTCGTCGCTGTCAGTGCGGTGCACTCAGAACCCGCTGAGAACAACATCTCTAAACCCCGCGCCTGCCCCACCAGCATCTCCCCACCACCAGCCCACACGCGGGCTACCCCTCCACGCACACACACCGCCCGTCCCGCCCCCTCTTTTCCCCTCCCCGTGTCCCGCCCCGCCTGGATCCGCCCCACCGCCGGTCCTCCTCCAGGGCTCCGGCATGTGCTGGATGCTGCAACGGAGGGGACGGCAGAGCTCCGCGGCCGGGGCCACCCTACGGTAAGTGCGCGGGCTGCACCGTCGGGACTGCAGCGCGGGGGGGTTCCGGGGCGCCCAAGTCCCTCTGGGGTCCCTGCGGCAGCGGGGAGGCGGGAGCGGTCCCGGTGAGCTGCCGGGGGACAAAGGAGGCGGAGACAGGTCCCGGGTGCGGGGAGCGGTCCCGGCGGAGCCCGTGGGCGCGGCGGGGCTGCGGGACCCGCGGAGCGCCCGGCTGCGCCCGCCGCCCGGGGCGAGGGGATGGTGCGGGCGAGGGGGCTCGGACGGGAGTGCGCTACTCGCCGAGCCGGGAGCGGCTCCGTGCTCAGCCGGGCGGCGGTCGGTCCCAACGCGCGGCAGCGGCTGCGAAAGTGTATTTACAACTTTGCGGCTGCAGGGCGGTGCGAGCTGGGGCCGGAGCGGTCTCCCGTTGTGTCACGTTATCAGGGGATTTTCCCGTCAGAGCCGCCGCCTTGCGTGTCCCTTTGCGGTGGTGGCTGCGGCTCCCGGACGGAGGCAGCAGGGGCGGGCCGGCACTGGCTGAGGACAGGAGGGGACGGGGCTCCGGAGGAGTTTGGAGTCGTGACAACTCATCAGTCCGTCTGTGTCGTGGACTGGGCACTGCCGGTGGGTCTCGCCGGTGCTAGATGGTGGGGTGATGCTTGAGCGGGACCAGCAAGACACCGGCTGCGCGACGGGAGGCACCAGGGGCCGGCTGCAGCTCCATGGAGCTCCCGTGGGCCACGCGATGGCACGAGTGTGGGACGCGTCCCAGCTGGCGCTCGGTTGGCTGCTACCTGCATCGCAGGTGCGGGAGAGTGACAGGGCCACGGCCCCGCGGGGCCCCCCGTGCTGCAGCACCTGGGGCAGGTGAGCCGCGTGGGTACAGCACTGGGCCGGCACCTCCGCGGGGGCAGCCTCGGGGGCGAGGGGCTGGAGGCATCTCGTGGGGCTGGTCTGAGTGGTCTGACAGCCGCGAGGGACTTTGGTCGGCCCGCTGTGGGCGGGACAGGGGAGGAGATGAGTGCCCCAGCAGGTGTGTGCACGCAGGAGAAGTGAGTGGGCGTCAGAAGTGAAAAAGTCTCCACACCTTTTTGTTTCTCCACCTCTTGGAATTTTTGGTAAAGATTTACAGGGAAAAGCTCTGGGTTTCCGGTGCTGAGAAATCATCATCTGCACCGGGAGATGTTTCTCCTGCTGTTCGACAGTGACAGGCACTCAAGTCAACTCCCCTGTGGCATTTAAAATGCACATCTGTGGTTTTCCACCATACCAGGAAACTCTAACGTGTTTTCTGAACCTTGTCCTTTCTTCAGAGTACTGTCATGATGCCCAGGCCCTGACAATGAATACTTCAAAAATGTTTAAAAAAAACCCCAAAGCAACAAACCACAACTGTTTGGACATTGGTGTCCCATTCATTTATTTAACTTTTTTATGTTTTATTTTGTTTGTGGTAAACTTGGAATGACAACAGTGTCAGAACCTCACTGCTGACTGTTCCTTCCATTTAATTGTTATACATTTTTTATCAAAGTGTTCTGTTTTCAGCACTGGTAATGTTGAGAGACTGTGTAGTAGTCAGTGATTTGGCTTCAGAAGAGGAATGCCACATTAGAAAAAAATGGAATCTAAACAGGGGGAGGGAGGAACGGGGGAAGTTTTCTTGCAGAGATCACCTTAAGGAGGAAAAAAAAAAAAAGGAAGGAAACAAAAAAGAGTAAGACAAGTATAAGCAAAATTTAGTCTCCATAATGCTACTGAAGAACAGCAGTTGTGATTATTCTTTTCAGTGGTTTACCAAACAATACTGTCTTTGCTGTTTGGAGAGAGTTTTTTCCCTTAGAATTTTTGTTGTTGTTTATATGATGAGCATGATAAACTGGGATGAACACCAGTGACACAAAACACCATTTGTATTTACATGTGGTTTGCCATTTGAAGTATTTTTTTAATAGAAGAAGTTTTTAGTATGAGGTAAAGGCCATGTCATTAGGGGTTTTGTGGGTCATTTTTTTCCTTGGGTTTTTTTGTTTTATTTTGTTTTTTGTGCTTGTGTGTTTCTTGTTAGGTTTTTTGGCTTTTTTGGTTTTTTGTTTTTTTGTTTTTTGTTTTTTTTTTTTTTTTAGCAAAGTTGATAATGCCCTCAGGCTACAGCACTCTTTGCAGTTCCCAACACTGCAGGTAAAAAGCAGATGAATCCTGTGGTTAGGTCTGTATCAGATAGCCTTTTTAGTAAAGTCGTTGCCCTACTGTTCCTCCAACGCAAGACAATGTAAATGACTTGCATGCTTACTGTGCTCCAGGGTTACACTTTTTTTCTTGCAGAAAGCCCTGTGATACTGCACTGCTCCTTGATTATCTTGGTGGTTTTTAGCAATGGTACCTTAATTCGTAGTGTGTGGCTAGTACCTGAGCATGGACAAACGGTGGGCTTGGCCCAAACTAAATCCCTGGAGCTACTGGAGAATCGCAGGAAGGAGATAATTTACTTCTCGTTAAACCATTTTTTATGCTTGCTGTTTTTTTTTTTTCCCCTCTATTTCCTCTCTTTGCACAATTCTGTATCCCCTCAAAAATTAAGCACTCTCTATAAGGCTGGGAGGTTTTTTTGTTGTTTTTGTTCTGTTTGGTTTTGGTCTCCGTTGCTTTCCCTGTTGCTTTGCTGAAGCTGATGTCTGGTAGTGCTGTGTGCAGCCTCTGAAACTGCATCTAATCATAAAGACCCTGCTGTTTGTGTTAATTTTATCAAGGTGTTGGCAGATTGGTATTTTCACACTTGTAATAGAGACAAGCTGTGTTCCAGGTGGAGTTTTATCTATTCTTTTTGTCTACTTTACGTAAATCAGTATTCCTCTCTGCACTGAATATGTTCAAGACTAGCTGTGCGCTTCAGGGGGAAAAAGAAGCAAACTGATGCAGAAGCTGCCTAGTTGGTCTGAATACTTAGGTGGTGATTCAAATGCCATGAAGTCACTAGTGGACTTTCCCCTTCCTCTGGGGAAGTAAGCCAATTTTTTTTTTTACTGGTTATTACTGGTAGTAAAGCTATTCCTGCTCAGAAGAGTTTATTATGTGATATATTGTGATAAAATATATTGTGTCTGACCTTACTGGTCCTGTAACTCAAGGTATTACTTGTGAAGTTAAATTATGCCTTTTTTAAATAAAGGCTTCATGGTCCACTTACTTTTAGAACTATTACAAGATCTTGGTAACAACAGAAAAATAAGGAAGAGTTTATTTACACTTTTTTGGACAGCTCTGGAAAATACTTCTGGAGTCTTGGAGATCCATTCCAAATCGGTCCAGCCTAGGTCAAGTATAAAAAAATACAACCTCTGTGAAATAACTTGTGCAAAGACAGGCTTTTAGAAGATTATCTCTCAGCTGTTGTGCTTGGGGCAAGAGTATCATAGATCCCCTTGGGAGATACCCTGTTTATAGCCTCAGTAGACTAAAAGAAAAAAAAAAAAGGAATATGTTTCCAGTTGGAGAATTAACTGATAGGCTTTTGGGTCAGGAGACCTCGTGTACTTGCAATTTGCATGATATTAAAAGATGTTTCTCTCCTGAGTTGCCAGTAGAGAGACAGGTCTTGCTGCTGCTCTCCCTGCTCTTCCTAAGCTTTCCAACAGTTGCAGTGGCTGCGAAAAAAACCTCACTTTCCCTTATTTTAAAGAACTTGGAGCAGCACTGTGTCTGTATTTTGGCTCTCCTGCTTCCCATAGGTAGAAAATATTAATGTTCTGCACTAAAGATTGCACTACATGGCAGAATTGCCAAGCACTGGAGTGCTAAATTGAAGTATCTTCTGTTTGTGTTCTTCACACTGTACCGGACTGGCGGTGTCTTCACAGCACTCCTGGCACTGCATATGTGTGAGCTTAAATGAGCTTTCCCTCCAGCTCCATCTCAAAAGAGGCATGTCTGTGTGTCTGGGATGAGGCGGGTTTGCTGTTCCAGAATGGCTCTTCAAGCAATTCACTTCCCTTAACCTTTGCAAGTTCTCATGCGATGCTGTGTTGGTGATCCAGCTGAGAAAATGGAGCCTGGCACTTTTGAGCAGGCTTCCTCTGCAGCTGCTCCATGCGAGGTGTAATGGATACTGAGGCTGGCTCACACCCTATCCTGTATTTTTGCTTTTTTTCTTAGGCTCCTGCATTTGCCTTGGCCAATCAATACCTCAAAGTGCTACTTACTCTTAAATTTTAATTTATGTGCTTGATTTATGAAGTATGAGGAAGTCTTATAAGTGATTGGTATTCAGTAGACAAGTCCATTAATAGGTTATGCAGAAGTAAAGAGATTCATCATGATGAGAAACTACTTGTCAGTAGTCAGATGCAATAGGATACATGCTACTACTTTTACCTGAATTGCATGCTCTAGCTGCAGACTTTTGCTGTTTGGACATTCTTTGAAACATGTACATTGCTAAGTTTTGCATATGCTTCTGATAAAATAATGTATTTTAAAAGGCTGCCTGTTTTTGTGTACAAAAATTCAAAGCCACTTTCCAACACTGGGAAGTGATGGGAAAACATAATCTCTGTGAGATCCTAATTTGTCCTTTTTTGCCTAGAGTCTTTACTCATTTGTCTATTTCTCTCAAAGGATTCCTGAATTCAGTTTTGGTTTCAGGAAAATATTAAGTTCAGGTGAGTCATGCTAGGCTGTTCTCAAAGGGAGCAAACTGCTGAGGAGCTTTTTTCATCCTATGGGAGAGCCAAATGGAAGCGTGGCAGCCACCCACTGTGGTCCTGCCAATGCTGCCCTGCCCTTGCATTTCCATGCTCTGCAGGAGCACCTGCTTTGGGGCTCTGTCCTCTGGTAAGCGTTTTTCCTCTCCTTGAGGACTAGTTAGTGTGCCCAAAAATGTGAGTCACTTTTACCTGGCTACCAGAGAATGGTACCATCCCTACATGAGGAGAGTTGTCCCTGTCTTTGAGCTTAAGGACTAGGGCAGCCTACAGAGTAGCATGGCAGCATCATCCCAGGAATGGCCACATTGTGGGGGATGCAGAGCAGAAGAGTTACAAACTCAAGAGCATGTTTCGTGTTCCGGCACTCACATGTAGTGCTTGATGTGAGGCAGGAAAACTGCACAGCACAAAGGTGGGGAGTGTGAGCAGTCATGCCTAACTAAGAGCTGTGTTTAATCCTGCAAAGAAGACTAATGAGAAAACATTTTCCTTGCTATTGTTAACGCTCAGTGTTGCCAGGGAGTGCTGCTTGTACAGGAAGAAAGAAAAAAAGTGTGTTGGTTGGTACCTAAAACCAATGCTCAGTGATTTCCCCATCTGTCCCACCTGCTTGGGTTCACAGGCCTGGAGTTTTTGAAGGCATCTTGCATTGCACCTCTCAAAAATCCTAAAGGAGAGGTGGAAGCCAGGCCCATATCCCATCCCTGCAAGAGGACCATGCTCAGACCTGACCTACTTGTGGTTAGCAGATACAGAAGCCTTGCTGCAGTGGCATCTCCCACATTAGGAGGCTGAAGCCAGTTGTCCCTGCTGCCAGTGTTGCATCTGTCCATGTTTGTGCTACTAAGTAGCATTCGGTGTTTGAAGGCAGGTGTGTGCCCTAAGTGGTTCGTGGATACCAAATTTGGTACCTTACCTCCTTGTGGCATCTTTGCCCTTGGATGTGTCATGCTAGTCCTGGAATGATGCTGAGACAGACGCATTTGAAAAGTCAGTGTGTTTCTGGGCATACGCTGCAGGACGTGACTTAGTTTTTCTTGACTCCTGGTCACCTTTCGGATCATCTGCAGCCATGACATAAAGCTATTTAGCTTCAGTCTTCTTTTCTGCCCTAACAAGCAGCTTTTTTTCCCCTCCCTCCTGACTGATGCATCTTCCCAGAGCAACTTTCATCATTGCAGGGAATAGTCAAAAGAGGTGGGTGGGGTGTTAAAGTTGCTGGGAAAGGCTAATATATGCCATCATGACATCTTTTATTTACTCAGACTCTTTATTACTCTGTTTTGCAGATAGTACTGGTGCCCTACAGTGTGTGTCTGAGGGGACAAAATACCTGGAAGGTGAGGGGGCTTCTCGGTATTAAATTAAGTCTGTGTTTCATCATGAGTACAAGGTAGCCCACGTGTGGGTTGCTGCCAGGGGCAGATTTGTTTCCAGGCAGTTGTCTGTCTGTCTTGCTGCAGGACTGCCTTGATTAAAGCTCCCTAAGCTGATTGTGAAACTGCAGCCTGGGAGTCTAGTTGTCTTAGAGGCCTAAGACATCTCTGGATAATAGCTGGAAAATATTAACAAGAGTCTTAATGTTTCTGGACAGTTTTTGATGGAATGCCGTAGGGCCCTTATGATAAAATTTCATCAGGAAGATGCTCAATGCTCATTCTCTATCCGCTCTAGGAAAAGCAGGTATTTTACTGTAATAAACCTTACAAAGCACGTTTCGAGGTGTTTGTGAGAGAAGCACAGAGTTATCTGTTGTTTTGTCTTGATAGAGGAAGACTTTGTTCTGGTTTGCTATTCTGAGCTGGTAGGTGATGACTCGTTCATCTGTTCACTTCATCCAGTTGAGATGTGGCTGTCGCAGTACCTAAAGGCCAGGATCAGGACCCAATCAGAATTAGGACCCAATTTGCTGTGGTCCCAAGAAATAATGTGTAAAATACAGTGATGTTCATAAGGCTACGTGAACACACATGATGTCTGGATGAGACCTTCCAGACAGGTTGGCTGTGGTGTGGCCCCAGATTCAGTGGTAGCAGGTTATCCTTGTGTCATTGTGTATATAGGGGGTATGAGGTGGTTTCATGAGCCATCACTCTGATATCCAAAGCAAAGAGGTTCCTTTCTCCTTATTCTCCTCCTCTTCTTCCTCCCGTGGAGGACTTTGCTGCTCTTGTCTGTCTTGCTGGGGGAAACCTCATCCAGTCCCGCTTTGACCCGCTTTGAGTTTCTGGCCCTATGCTAGGGGGCAACTTGAGGATCTGTGGAGAGAAGAGAGGAAGATTTAATTGAGTTTTTATGGCCATGTTTGAACTGCTTAGCGAGAGAAGGCTTGAAATTAGTGACAGGCATGTTTTCCAAAGCTCCGCTGCATGTGTGTTTAGGTAAAATAAACACTGCTAAATAAGCTGTGCCACCACTCTGGGCAGTAATAAGCCCCCTGTCTGATACCAGAAGAATACAAATAAATACTGCCTTTGACTGTTGTAATTGATAGACTTGCTGGGCCTTTGACTAAACAATCACATCTCAAAATGCACTTCTTCAGGAGCTAAAACATGAAGTTTGAAAAAAAACCCCAACACAACAAAACCAAACCACCTGTGGGGTGTCCCAGAGGCCGATGATTGACTTCAGCTTTTATTAATTCATCTGCAGTTCATTTGCTGGAGCTTTTAGGGTTTAATTGAGGTTAAGAGGTTGGAATCAGTGGTAAACAAAAGAATGGCATATGGGCAGTCTGAAATTGTGTATGTTTAAGTAAGAGCATTCCTTCTGGCCAATTGTTTTCATTGGGCAGTTTCTCTTGACTCACAACTCTTTTTTTAAAAAGGTGTAAACATGCAATGCTAGCAAGTTAATGATTCATTAAGTTTTATCACACCCTAACATGCCTCTAGGAAGAGAAGGTTGAGCTGAGCTTGTGTTTGACCTCCCCCTTCAGATTAAGGACGTTTCTTTTTTAACCTCTTACCTGTTGTGGCAGGGTCCACAAGCTCATTTGTTTTAAAACGTAAGAAGAAAAACACCTTCTCTCTGGCTTTTCTCACTTCCCTGTTCTGAGGGTCCACAGCCGGCCTCTTAAAATTGAAGTGGACAAAGCAGGTATGAGACCAGAGAATAAGTTTTCTAGAAGCTTTGTTTATTATAGAGTCTGTGGGGAACTGGGACTCAGTTTCTTCAGTTTTCCACAGGAAACTGTGCATATGTTTTTCATGGCCACTTTTTTGGTCCTGTTTTCAGTTCTGGTATGAGTCCCATGAATGTCTGGCTGTGATTTCCCTTTGCAAGTGGGAACGTGTACCAGCTAGTGCAGCTGTCTGACAATTAAGGTAAACCTCCTTATGTTGAAAACCTTGAGTTCATATTCCGAGGTCTTTATGCTGTCGATAAAGTTTATGGCATATATGACATCAGTTGGCAATAATAATGGTGACTTGTTGCCCTCAAGTCATTCTGTAGACATCTGTAATTTATATACAGCCATTAATAATGCGTAGTCCAGAGCCTAAGAAAGCATGCCAGCATAATTATATCAATAAGAGAAGATAAATCAGAGTTTTTCTCTTAATATTTCATTTAATGACAGCTTTCACCTGTCCCAGAAAGTCAAATATGTTTTTGTCACTTGTTTATAATTTAGAGCAATCTTTTAAAAACTCCTAGTTCTTGTTTAGCTAAATACCAGTTTTGAAAAATGTAGTAATAATAGCCTTTAATAATCCCCTCTTCTGCAATTTTTTGTGTACTTCTGTCTCATAAGGAATGCTCTACATAACTTGAATCAAAAGTTGCTGTATTAAGAAGCTTTATATATTCTGGCTCAGGGAAGGAGATGCATGGAACAGTTTCTATACTTGCAAAAGGACACTTGCCCATCTTTCTTGTATTTGATTTAAAAAAAAAAAAAAAAAAGAAGGCTTGAGCATGAAGTTGAAGGGAGAGGGATAAAATCAAGTTCTGTTTTCTGTACTGTACTTTGTTTTTCCATGACAGTTTGCTTTTCCCCCATCCCATACACAAATTTGATTCTCTCATATTTTCCTCCTGAACCAGGACAAATACGATTTTAAATACAACCTCCTTGAGAGGAGGTTGGCAGTGCTTACCTCACAAAAAGTGTTTGACAGTGACTCAACCTTGGGAGTTTGTGTTCCACCTCATCCTTTGAGTTGTTGTATAGAGGATTTGAGACAGCGATTTCCCATGGACTAGGGATGGAGTGATGGGGAAGACAGATCAGATGAAGTTGTCTGCATGCCTGACGCATGCCTGCTGATAGCCCATTGAAATCTCTGCTTTGGCTGAGAGTGAGGTACCTGGTTGAAGAATAGGATGCTCCCCCTTGTCATGGGTGTTTTCAGGAAGCAGTCACCTGCCTTATCATTTTCGCGTGTCTGGAAACCTTGAGTCCGGTTTGTTATTACAGAAGGACTGCATTGTTTTATGGCACTCTCCTCAGACTTTCAAGCTCTTTAAAGGTTGACACTGCCTGGTCTGTGCTATGATGCCGGTGGAAACGTTGGCTGGCCCTGGAAAATGAATGACTGTTGTTTTGTTTGTTTGTTTTTAAACAGCAAGAAGAAAAACATCCCATCACATGCATGTTGTGAGCAGCTTCCAGTGCCGACAGAAGCACGGCACTGATGATCTCGCCTTTTCAACAGGTGCATGGGATGAAGGGAGCCTGAGAACCCGTCTGGAGAGGAGACCCTGGTCCCTGTGGAGCTGCCCACCATGAGCAGGGCACTGCTGATAGGCAGGATGCAGCCAGAGATCCGGAGTGTCTGTGTCTTCCTGCCCACCCGTGAGCAGCTCAGCCTAGCCGTCGGGGTGAGTGGCCAGGAGGGAGACTGGGAGGTGACTGTATCATTGCCACAGTTCAGTTTTGTTAGGTCCTATTGTTCTCCCAAAAGCTTGGTGCGGGTCTGCTGACCGAAAGGCTATTAGCCTGCTTAGGGTAATTGGTGTTCCATTTTCTAATTGGGCAGCTTCAACTTACAGAGCTCCTTAAAAGTCACAAGTGTGTTACAGGATGGGGGGTTGCTTCTGCTCTTTTTCTGCTGTTATTTACTTTTTGTTATCTCTTAAGTGTTTTTCCGACTCGTAATAACCCAGCAATTTTTGAGAAATTGAGCCCGAAATGCCTTGATGACTTAGCAAGTGTGCCCAACACGTGACTGTTTACTCTGGCATTTTAGCTATCACTGGTTTTGATAGCCCACAGATCCCTTCAAAGCCTCCAAGGCAGAGTAAACAGCCACTGAAGGTGGGCTTTTTTTTGCCTCCTCGGAGTACTGTGCACACAAAAAACTAGAGGTAAGTTGCTTCACTTCTTTGATCGCTGCTTTGAATGTCTCAGAGTGTGCACAAATGACAGCAGAGGCGGCTCAGCTGGAGCCCAGGGTGGCATGGTGTCTGCCACAGCACGGTGCTTCTTTGTGCACTGCTGGCTGCTCCTTGAACTTGTGAGAAACTGAGCTGACAAGAGGCACTTCACGTTCAGAGGACAAGCTAGCCTCAAAGATAAGTGCTCTCTTGTGAGCGTGTGCGTGCACTCGTGTGTGAGCTGGGGAGAGTTTGCTTTGTTTTGGGTAGGTTTTTTCCCCCCTTCTGGGACGAGGAGGGGGAGAAGACAGTTGAGGTGAACTGTTATTTTAAGCACTTGAGTGAAACAGTGGCTTTTGAAATTATGTGTGCCAATCTTCAAAATCCGCGTCGGAATTTTCCTACCTGCTGTGTGTAAGTGTAGCGTCCTTAACTGAAACAGCCTCAAGGGCTGGATGTAATAAAGCTTTAACAGCAAAATCTGGGACACTCTGCTTCTAGGTTACTGGTTCAAATCCAGCCCATCCACTGCCCCAGAAGGCTTCTGCAATCTGCTAGCTTTTGTGCAAGCCACAAAACGATGATTTAATTAAGTTCCTGGTGGCAGTTGCACAGGCCTGGGTAATGGTGTGTTGCATCTGACCCTAAATCTCGCCTTCTCACAGCTTTTATCAGGGAGGCTAAAGATGTGAGATAGTGGAGCTGTCCTGCTGTGGAGAAGGTGCGGACTGGCATGCATGAGGGCATTGTGCCAGCAGGCCTGATGTTGTCACTGCTTCTCTCTGTGCCTGTGCCCAAACTGAGCATGCAGCTGTTCCTTCACCACTGGGTTGTGCGCTGGCAAATCTGCAGTTTATCATCAAATCAGAGTGAGAAAGACCCTTAAGATTGAGTCTGACCATAAACATGGCACTGCCAAGTCCACCACTAAACCAGATCCCGAGATGCTACATCTACATGTCTTTTTTAATTCCCCCAAGATATTTAATAAGAGTAACAAATGGTCTTTTGCATTGAGCGCCTGCCCCTCCAAAGAGCTGGGGTGCCTTGAGCATCACCATTTTGTCCCACAGAGACGTCCCTACCACAGCACCCTTTGTATTCCTTTTTAAAGACATGCACCATCATAGTTTCTGCTGCCCTTTTCTTTTGTGGCTGGGAAGCTGGGGAAGTGTGTATTTGGAGATGCCTGAATGTGAAAGGGAATAGCTGTCTGGGCCAAAACATGAGACCTCAACACACAGTTGTGTCCTAATTGCATAGAGAGTGAAACATGACCTGTTACAGCTGGGCAAGTCACCAAAAAAGGCTTTTCATTTGGCTTTTGGCTTTACCGCAACACCCCTTCAGAACAACAACAAAAATTAAGATTTCACAGCTGGAGAGATCTTTCTTTTTTAAAGAAACATCAAGGCAATTTTCTAGTGATGTTGGTAGAACCCAAATTTAATTAGCTCAACTACAGATGATACTTTGTGCATTTATTAGAATAATAATGCCACTACTAAAGATTTCCAAAGCCTTTTAACCTCTTCAGTGTGGAATGCAAATACTAAACAAGCTTGCAGCTCAGTGAGGTAGGTAGGAATGGTTATCCTCCCAGCAGAATAAATTATAGATCCTTCCAGTGATAAGCACAATGTTTATGCGGGTAATGCCTCTCTCTCCTGTGCCATATAAATTCCACCCTTCCAGATAAGAGTTTACCTGTATGTTTTATGTGGTCACATACAGACTGAAGCCTACTCTTTAAAGTGAATTTGTCTTACGCCCTTCACAGATAGTGCTGTTGAAGAGAGAAGAGCAGGAGCCATTTTAAATTCCTTCTAAATCGAGTATCTCTTAATTAACTTTGGCATCCACCTTTCTGAAGGCACAGTGAATTTGAGGGGATGGTGAGGAGGAAAACTGTCTTCCTGGGGCTAAATGTGAACATGAGGAGAGGCAGAGCAGTGGCTCTAGTGGGCACTCACTAGTGGGTGCTGCAGCTGACCAGCTGCCCTGAGGATTGCAAGGCAAAGTGAGAGATTTCTGCTTAGGAGAATGAACATCAGAGCACAGAGCAAAGCAGTCTGCCTTCTTCCAGGCAACCCCAGTGGAGAGATAGCATGTGTGCACCAGGGAGCTTGAGCAGGCTGTGAGCGAGAATGGTGCAACCAAAAGTTGTATTGGTTGTACCAAAGATCTTGTACTGGTATCCAATTTGTTCAGCTTTGTTTGTCTGACAGCATTGTGGCTTATCTCATCAACACTTTTGAACCTGTTGATCAATATCAACTAGTTTTTATGATCGATGTCAAGCAGATTTCATAAAATTTTTTGGGATAGTAGCAGCTGAAGGAAGGAGAGATGTAGGCTAGCAAAGGTTCAGCTGCCGATGAGGGAGAGCAGGGCAGGCAACCACTTGTGTTTGGGTAGTTCAGGAGCAGCCCCAGCAGATGCTGCACCTTGCCCAGCTGATAGAGTAAGCATGAACAGAAATTTCTGGAGGGGAGGAAGTCTGGTGAGGTCCTGTGTGTTGGTAAATGGCAAGCATAGGTCTGAAGTCTTTCAGTGGTTCTGTGAGCAGAAGAGCTGATGTTTCAAAGCAGATGGACCAAGAAAAATAGAGATAGATAACTAGTGCACATGAATATTTGTACACAGAATGACCTTGGAGTGGCAGTTGCCTTCTGTAAACTTGGACTTGACTTCACTTTGGACTAAATTTTACGTGTAAAGAAGCCCTGAGTCTGACATGGGGCAAAGCTGAATATCAGTGGAAGGAGTGATTCATGGTTTTTCTGGGATGGAGACTGGCACAGGAATCCCATGCAAATGAGCAAAGTCCAAAGAGAAGCGTCCAGATGAAAAATGCAAAGGGAAATCTTAGTTGCTTTGAGCAGAGGGAAAAGCAGGAGGAGGGAACAGCAATTGCAAATGTAATTGGTATTGCATAGCCTTGAAGGCTGGGAGTAAAACTTGATACAGAAAGCAAGTGCCAAGAGGAGAATGGACAAGGTGGTAGTCGCATACCTGCTGTGCAAGAAATCTGCTTAAATCACTGTTTAGAGCTGAGTGTCACAAAACCCTGAAGTGCTCATTCCCTAGAACTAAGTATCATAAAGCAGGGTTCTCTTTCCTTAGGTGTGAAAGCATGCCACTTAGAAAGTTCATCTCATCATATAGCATTTAGAGAGAGTCCTGTGCTGCCAGTGACTCTTGTATGCCCATAACCATTCTGGCTAGAGCCTTGCTTTCTTAGCAAGTCCTTCCCAGGTAGAAGAACATGCTCAGACCTTGCTTCCTTGGGAAAGGAGACTGATCTGTGCCTAACTTTCCCTTCCAGGTTTGTGTTCTAGGCGGCTGAGCAAATACTGCATTTAGGAGTGAGACTGTAAGGATGCAATCTCATGTGGAGAGTTGTGATAAGACCAAGATGTGGGTTTGGGTCTTATTGGAACTGTGCCCTACCTCCTCCCTTCACAGAGCACACAGGTGTTTGCACTGGTGTGGTGCAGGCTTCAAAGCTCCTGATAAAACTGTAGTGAGTGTCTGGCTAGTGATGCCTTGTCAAGTAGAAGAAAATGAGTACTTAAATGACCTCCTTTCCCATTGTCCATGTCTAGTGACATGGTACATCTTGGGGCAGGGAGGGGAGCGCAAGCCAGTTTCTGGGGAGTGTGGCACACCTACCCTAAGAGAGTTTGAAGAATTAGGATGGCGATTGGTTTTTGGGAGAGTTAAGCAGTCAGATTCTGCCCTGTCATCTTTGTTTCTCCGAAGGTATACCCCTCAGGATGGCTGCTCCTGCTGCTGTTGCTAATCAGCATCATCTAGCAGTGGGTAATGAAACTGAGGTCCAGGCCCATTTTGCAGCTGCAGCTGGCTGCACCCTGGCCTCAGCTGAGGTTGTCAGTGTTGTTCTGCTCTCCCCATCTGCTCTTGCTCAGAGCTCTTTCCCCTAGGCCTCTGTGGGTCGGGAGGTTTCTCTTTGTGCCTGTGGATTTTCAGTGCTTCTGGGTTGGTGCAGTGGGTCAGGAAGATATGAGGCTAGAGATGGGTGGGATGTTCAGTGGGGGAACCTTCCAGTCATAGTACATATCCAGGTCTGCACATGAGGTTAACCAGAATCTCATTCTTTCTGGGGGAGCCTGAGCTCCTAGCAGCCCTGCTAGCAAATTTACTCAGTAGCCATGCTGCAGTGCCGTGGTGCTCCCATGGCCTGTGCCATGGTGTCAAATACTGTCCAGCCTCTGGTCCCCTGTGGGAGCGTGTGCTGGCAGCTCTGCTTTCCCAGTACATCCTCAGTGCATGCATAGCATTACAGGAGGCAGGGGTATTGGAAGGTCTCAATGTGCATGGACATGGGCAAGGGCTTAAAGGCTGTTGGTGACAGCAGCAGAAGATGAAGATGTTAATGACTGTGTAACCAGAAGTCAGCAGGAGACAGAACAAGCTCTTCTGTGTGGGTTACAGAGCAACCTCGTCTCTAACCTGAGCTATTTCATCTGAAACTATAGTCTTGTGTTTCTTTGGGTACTTTTGTTTCTAGATCTGAATGAAAGTTTTCAATTTTTTTTTTCTCTTAACCTCTCAAAACAAAATCTGCAAGAGAGCAGCATTTTCATTTCTGATTATTATTCTGTAATAATACTGAAAAAAGCGTGTTCTGTGGGGTGGCTGTATTTGGGTTTTTTTGCTGTGGTACCCAAAAATGCGTTGGCCAACGTAAAGAAGAGTTGCTCTCTCCAGGTGCATGAGCCATCTGTAATGTTGGATTTGTTGTGTCTTTCAGGTCAAAGCCACTGGACAGGAGCTCTTTCAGCAAGTTTGTGATGTAGTGAAGATTAAAGAGCCTCACTTCTTTGGCCTCAGCATTGTTAAAAGTAAGCAAACTCAGTGCACAAGCAAGTGACTTGGCAAACATCCACAGACTCGCTTGTGTATTTACAGTGTGTGCATATATACACAGCGGCCATGCCTGCAGGGGGAATTTGATTGTAATAAGGTCACAAAGTATGTAGATTATGCACAAGCTTCCCAGAGCTCTTTTGATCTTTGGTATGTGGGCAGACAAATTGGGAGAAGGGGGGGGCTTTTGTTCTCCACCTTTGTTCTTAGGTTCCACCTCTTTATGGGGCTTTCTCTCCTGTAGCAGGAGTTGCTAATCAACATATTTTTCACTATATATAATGCTGTAAGTATTGAACAAGAGGTGAATTTTTAAAAGGGCTTTGGAACTGAAAGTGTTACTTATCTTCTGAAGCCACACGCGAAGAATGTAGCACTGGGGAGGAAACTCAAATGATTTTAGGGGACTGAATGCACATGTGGGAGACCTTGGGGTTTTAAATACCACGTGGGAAATACAAAACTTCTTAGTCTGTAGGTTAAAGGTGAGTCTGCTTGGTCCTACAGCTTAGTATTGACCAGGAAATTGTGTTAAGATGATGCCTTAAAGGAGCAAACTGATATGAGAGATTACATTTCTAGGATGCTGTGAGCACTGGCACTCCTCCAACTCTTAGTAAGATGGATCTGATGTCCTGCTTAGCCTGCCTCCCCACATTTTCAAAAGCACTGAAAGACTTTTCTTTCCTCCAAAAATTTTCTCAAGTGTGTAATTTACTACCGTAATTCTAGATATTTCATTGAAATGAGAGTAATCTTTTATGAGTCCTTCTAAATAAGGTTTCTTTTGCCCCCTTACAAATATGTGGGATAAAATAGGTGCTTTTTAAGTTTCTCTCATTTCGTTTCTGCTCTCGTTCTCTTAAGAATTTCTGGGCTTTTTTGAATATAGCAGTCAAACTGAGACCAGCATAAGCTTTTTATCTCCCTAAGGAGAGTCTCCATAAGATTCCATCAAAACCACTAAACCAGTAGCTAACGAATATACCTGTGTTTTTAAACCAGTGCAGGGTTTTTTTTTAATGTGAGGAACACCTGAATGCTTTCAACTTTTTTTCACAAACAACTGTATTTCTGAGTCCTTCCCTTTGCCTCATGTTTTTAACACCAGTTTTTGCCTGTTCCACTTGGAGGACATCTTGGCTGAAATTGGAACTCCTGTCCTCCCCTGTAAGACAGGGCAATTTCATGCCTATTTTCTTTGAATTAGGTGCTCTGTTCTTCCTATGTTTCTTTCACTTTTTCCCTCCCTTTGCATGTTTTTTTACTTCATATTTTCTGTACCCTGCTTTTTCTTTCCCTCCGAACTGTCGTGTGGTGCAGTTTCCTTCACCTTGTGAAACACAGAGGCTCTGACCCCAGAATACCCTATTGTGGCAGATCCCTTTAAGTCCTTTGGAAATATGGTGTAACCACCCTATCCCAAATAGCATAATAAAGCTTTGCTGACTAGACCTTAAAGTATATTGTCCATAGCTTTAAATGGAAACTATCCTTTCACTACACAAAAGTAAAGGAAAAGAGTTACAGGAGTAACCTTTTTTGTTTGTTTGTTTTTGTTTTTGTTTTGCTTTCCTTGCTGTTCCTCACTCCTGCTTGCTGTAGCTCAGATTGTAAAGCTGCTTAATTGAAGGCTTCTCATGCTCACCCTGGATCCTCCTGATAGCCATCTCCCTCTGCCCCCCATGCACCCATGCAGGTGCCAGAATTTTGGATAAGAAGATTTTGTTTTTATTTGTGCCCCTGTTTAAGAAACTGTTGGGGCCAGATGACAGACGAGTGTCAGCAGTGAGTTTCTCAGCCTGAATGGCCATAGCCATCAGGAAGGCTGCAGCAATCTCTTGGGAGAGGGAGCAAACCTGCTCAGTTTATTTATTGCTTTCTCTGGTCCATGGCTTTAGTCTGCCCAAGTCCAATAAGCTGTTGCCTGGAGTCTGGTGGGGGGTGGAGTTTAAGGTTTTCTTTCTTTTGTTTTTAGAATAGCTCTGGGTTTATTACTGTAGTAGAGGAAATACTTTTTCTGTTCCACAACTTGGTTTCCTCCCCCCCTCTTGTTTTGGCCAACAGACTGGTGATCATCTCCCCTGCTGCCCGTGGTGGCTGAGGTCTTGCTTCTGTAGCAAAGGTAGCACTCTTGAGTCTGGCGTTTGGAAGTAGCCTTTAAGGCATTACCTGCTCTTCAGGGATTTTTGGCTTCACAACAAGCTATCACCTCAAGAGAGGGAAGCGCTCAGGTCAGGTTGTGGGGAGGCCTTGTGTAAGTTTTGCATCGCCCAGGGTTGTCTTGGGGGTACTTAAGTCGGTTGCCTCGGTTGTGGAGCGAGTCAGTGTACATCCCACGGAGTCTATGAAGGGGAGGCATGGGGCTGGTCTGTGAAGAAAGGCTGGGTTAGATGTCCAAAAAAGGGAGAGGAATCATTTACATTTGAGAACAAAGTCATGCTTTCATCTCTATGCTGCAGCTCTAGGACATAATTTTTTTAAAAAATAGCTGCCCTGTTTTGATAATTATATATTTCCCGACTTCTTAATGTGTATTTATTTTTGGGAGTCTGATGCTGCCACATGCAAAACTAGGTATTCTAATCCCCCTGCACCTATTACTTTCCTGCTAATTTGTCAACAAAACCCTGACTGTCAGCAGTATCAAGAGAATGAAAATTAAAGGATTTCTACAGCACTGTAGCCAATCACACTGCATGGATTATCTGGATTAGGAGCCCATTTGACCTGCAGACGTTGTACAGATACACTAATGCTCACTTGGTCTCATAGTAAGTATGTGTCTGAGGGGGAGAGTTTGGGGTCCTTAATCATGAACAGAAGTTTAACCCGTAAGTGTGGCAAAAATGAAAACAGCACCACAAAGCGCCATGCAAACTGCAAACCATGAGTGCTGTCAGATCTGAGTTCTAGGTCATGGAGCATGTTTTCCAGAATTCATTGCCTAAATTTTTTTGCCTTCTGTTCTGACTGTTGCTGAGGGCAAGGTTCAGGATTAAAGGATGCAGTAATGGTGGCAGGATAGCATTTTTAGCCCCTTCTGCTCTTGAACTTTTTTATTCTCAAGAGAAAAATCACTTCAACCAAATATATTTGGTGGGGAAAAAAAAAACAAACAACACATGTTTGTCTATAAGAAGTTGATCACTTTGAATATAAAGTTCAGGAGTGTCCAGTAATGAGAGGCCACACCGGCACAAACCCTGGGACATGTTGCTCTTCTAGTTTTGTCACAGATTGTCAGGCAGGCTATACCTTGCATACTGCTGTTGCTGAAGTGCATTTTTTCCTTGTAGTTTACTCAGTGAAAGACCCTGCGACCCTGCCAGACTCAATCTGGCTCCATAGGCATCAGCAGCTGTGTCTTATGTGGCAAATCCTCCTGAGGGGTCAACCTTATCTAGTGCCCCGCGGGAGGTTTCCCTCTTGTTATCAGAAAGTGTGTGCAGCAACACATGCAGTCTTCTAAAACAAAAGTGATTGTCAGCAGACAAAGAACAGCCAGGCCTCCTTTGTAGTTATAACACAGATCCTTCGATCCTGAATCTTGGGCTTTTCCTTTCTAGGAGCAAACCTTGCTTGACCCAAGGAGATGGAAACCTTCAATTGGGAAGGAGCAAGACTGTAGCTCCTATACCCTGCTGCTGTCTCTCCATGCCTCCTTAGCGGTTTGTCATGCTGACTTTCTACCAAAACCAAATCCCTTTGCTTCAAGGATCATCCTTTGGTTATTACAGCTATGGCTGTTCACCTTGCCAGGCCCATGCTTCCCAGCACACGCTTAGCAAGGAGCTCAGTGATTAACTCTGCCAAGACCACTCTGTCTCCAGTTAATTCTTCTGGCATCTGTGTATCCTCCAGTACTGAAGTTCAAGGACAGAATATTCTACTATACTATTTTTATATTACATGGATGTCTCTTACAACAAAGGGTCTCTTGGTCTCTTAAGAGACAGATAACAAAAGAAATTCTCCAAAATACCTTCTGATGATTTCTACACACCAGTCCTCCCCCATTGTCCCTGCTTCTGCCTGTCCTCTTAAATCTACTTGGATAGTTGAATCTCCTTTATGAATTTCTTCTGTATTCTAACCTAAGGTACAACTCTATTACAGTGACTTTATTACCTCAAGTGAACTAAATGCAAGATAAAAACATGTACAGAAGTGTACCACCTAGAGGGAATTACAGGGGTTCAGGTGTTCAGAGAGTATATAGTACTTCTTTAAAGTACTTACTTATACAGTCTCTTTCTATGAAGGCATTTTTTCTGCCTGTACCTGCTGTAAATTTTTGCTCCTTCAGCATCAGTACAGCATCCAGCCAAGGGGTCTACTGCCTAAGAATTGCAAAGAGTTTGTTTGCTCCTGGATGAGCAGTGCTAGAATGGTTCTGCAGTTCTTCTTGTGCAGAAGAATCACTCATGATGCTGCCAAAGTCTGAAGATCTGTGCCTGGGCTTGCCTTGTTACTAACTGTAAGATACCAACATAAAATTCCTGCAGGAATGACTGAGCCTTTATCTCAGTGTTAAGACCTCAGCAGTTCCTAACAGCCACAGGACCTCAGGCTTCTTGGAATTGTCTCCTCTCATAATAACATCCTTGTGCCTTGTGTCCATCCCAGGTAAAGAGACCTCAGCCAGGACCTCTCTTGCTTTACTCCCAGCCTCTGTTAAGATTCTTCTCTTCTTCACTTGGTTTACATGGGCTTTCTAACTAGAGCTAAAACCACAAGGTTATCTGAAACAAGTTCTTTTAGACCCCTTTGTAAACTAATCAACCAGATACTGGAGGGTAGACAACGTTTCTTTCTGTTGGCTTGAAAGGTAACACCAGGAGCATCCAGAAGTTGTGTAGAGGTGGTGGGAGCAGATGCCATGTGGATAGTGGTGTTCCAAGACCACTAGCACTTGGAAGCTTGGGGAGCTCCACATGCAAAAGGAGTGAAGGAGCATGTAGCCAGCTCTTCACTAAAAAAAAAAAAAAAAAAAAAAGGCATGCTGGTATTCCGGGAAGCTAAACAGGTTATGTGAGCTCTACAACATGAGGTTTGTTTTTTTTTGAGGTGAGGGGGAGGGTTTAAACTTTAGCTCTCCCCCAACACCAGCATCCTTCTGTCCTGCTTCTGCTCTCTTTCATGTTGCACCTCAAGGGACATAGTGGTGTTACTGTGAGGCTTTTTGCAGTGTCTGGGAGAAGTTAAGGACAATTTTTTCACTTCTAAGGCAGAAAATGCTTGCTATGTAGAAGTTCGGGTCCTCACTACATTCATATTTTATTTGAATCCTATTCTTTTTAACTGTCTAGTTCTATTACTAAAATATACTTGATGCAACCAAATTACTTAATGGGATGTTCCTGGCTGCCTACGAGGCCTAAGCTCTTCTCTTGGTAGGACACCTCTGTGGAATTTCTCAGTGCTTCTAGCCAAAATGAGCACAGGAGAACAGGTTTTTGTTATTCACCATTACTTAGCTTTTATGCAGAGAACTTACCTTTCATAAAAAATGAGAGGAGGAGGAACTGGTTAATGCAAAATAATGGCTTTTGGAGTAACAATGACTCAGAACTGAATTGATACTGTATTACAGCCATCATTTTCTATTCCCATTTTTCCTGCAGTGTAAATAATGCCTATTGTAAACCTACATCACTCACTGGAACTGTGTCACTTTTTTTTCTGACTGGAGACCTGGCCCATTATTTTTCTGCAACAATGCGCGTCCTATATTTTCTCAAATATGCAAATGCACTAAGCTAATTTTGCAGAGTAGGAGCAGTGAATGCTTGCATTTCTGCTAACTCCTTAATTTGAAATGTGATTTTTACAGCATAAACTTTCCATTTCATTTGAGAGCTCTTAAAAGCTGAAATAGGGAGAAATGTGTAAATTGCATTACTGCTGACTAGCTGGCTGTCCAGAGGCATTTCTTGGGGTTGCAGTGCACTGTTGTGTCGTGCCAGGTCTGGGATCTGTACACACATACGTTAGGGAACCTTTTAAGAGAAGCTGATGTATTTCATAAGGTCACTGACAGTGCTGAGATGAAATTCATGAACGCGGTGTCTGCAGGTGGATGAGTGTCTATTTGCATGTGTGCATGCTTCTTGATACCTTTTATGTGTGCATGCTTCTTAGTACCTTTCAGTTGTCCTTCAACCAAGGCCAGTGAAGCAATGGCAGTGTGCACCTGCTGAGTATCCAGCCCTGCATGGATCCACAGATCAAACATATTCTTCCCTGGAAAGGTGGCCATCTGTGCATTTCTATACTGTCCTTTACAGCACTGCTCAGAGGTGCTGCAATTTGGTGTCCTCATATCTGTTAGAGGTGCTTGTTTTCAAACCAGACACAGTTTTAGCCTCTGTCAAAAGATCTCTTAAGTTTCATCACTAATCAAGTTTAAGGAAAAAAAAAACCAAACAAACACAACAACAACAACAAAAAACAACACCAAAAAAACCACCAACAAAATAACCACAAACCAGTTGGGCTGCAGAGGGAAATACTTCTTTGTTTTTGTAGATGGAGGCTTACACTACAGGTTGACATTCCAGCAATATTAACTTCATTAAGACAGGAATGCAGTGCTGCATTCTTGCACGGGAGGGAGGATGCTGGACTGGGCTGGGGAGGAGTGGGACCCCCAGGGAGAGCTGATAGACTGGGGTGTCCTCCTGCAGCCTGGCTTATTCTCGCAGTCGGTGTGTGCCTCTCGGTAAGCCTAATAATAACCTGGAGCTCTCAGGCTTGGCATCTGGGCCCTCAGGGAGTGATCTCTCTAACCTGTGTAATGTGACAGATAAATAGGGGCTGTGGGGTGTGGGTAACAAATGACTTCATTACAGTGTAACTGTTCTGTCATACTTTTCCTCTTTCTGACCTAGTATTCAGGTGTGATGGAACGGTTCAGGATATGCCACTCCTCTTGCTATTGCTATCTTTCTCTTCTGGCTGAGGAGTAATTCACCTGTTTCTCTAAACACCTCTGTGCATGGGATCATTCCTGAGTGAGAAAGGAAAACTGTCGCCTCAACTTGTTACAGCCATGCAGGTTCCCCACCCTCTTTACAAATGGCAGCTAAACACCACGGTGCTGGCAGAGTCAGCACAGGCTTTACCTAGCACTTCTGTGCCATCAGGGGCAATGCTGTGCCTGGTGTAGGAGACTGTAGAGGAGCAAATGCCCTACCCTGGGACTGCCAGAGCCCAGGGAGGGACTGGGGGCCGTGCGCATGTTATCCCACTCCTGTCCCTTGCTGTGGAATTGCTTCCTAAATGAGTTTTACTTACTTTTTAATAAAAGCTTTACAGAGAGACACTTACCAGCTTGGCAGCTGACAAGGGACAGAAACAAGGCTAACAGATGAACAAACCCTTCTCTCTCACTGACTAGGACTTCTACCAGCCTCTTCAAGGCAGCGTTATCTGATCTTAATGGACTTAGAGAAGCAAGGGCTGGGGCCAGAGTAGTCCCCCTGCCACCCTGTCTTACAGGCATATGTGAAGAGGCAGGTAGAAGATGCAATCTCTGTGATGATGAAACCTCTTCCTCTCCTTGTCCAAATAGCCAAACAACTTTTATATCACCTTGTGTGCTACAGAACCTAAATTCTCACCACCACCGCTTTCAGAAATTCTATACAGTTTCAATAGTGCTGTTAAATACTGTGCTGTTTCCGTAACAGAAGTGTAATTATATTAAAATTACAACTGCAATCAGTACAATGCAGGAAAGAGCATAAAGATGGAAACAGGACTCTTGGGGATTATCTTCTTCATATCCAGTGTAACTGTATTTTACACAAGGTCTCCTATTAGGGTGGGATGTGGACTAATTTGGGATAGCACTGAGTTTCTTTCCTTTGAGGTGGGAGCTGAAGGAGTTACCAATAGGGGGTTGTTTTGCTAGCTTGTTTTTTGAAAGGTAGCAAAGAACATATTTGCTACATCTGCTCCTGTAAGAATCTGGAATGCTTTGGGAGGTGGCTGCAAGGTAGCTCAGAGCCCCTTTCAGCAACTGCTA